CGAGGCCTTTCGTGAAGATATCAGCAGTGTTCTCGCTCGACGCAATCCAGTGGACGCAGAGCTGTCCCTTCAGGACCAGGTCACGCACAAAGTGATATCGCACCAGTATGTGACGTGTTCTCTGTTTGACTTCTAGAAACGCACCATGTTAAAATCTTGGATCCGTCCCCTCCTCGATCATCACAAACGCATAGAACGTGTACGCGCTCGCCCACTACTATTCTCCCTCGCAGCACTCAATTTCGGTACTTAGGTGTGTGGTTCCATGAGACGATGGGTTGGGAGTATCATTTGCAGGTGATGAGTGGTAATGGAGCGACTGCACTGCGCATCTTCCTTCATCACCTCCAACACCTGCCTCGTCTCGACCCCTTTACCCTCTTCCTTGTCTATGATGCGACTGTGTCGTCTGTCTATCTGTATGGCTGCGAGTTTTGGGCGGGCATGCCATGCCGGGAGTTAGACAACCTGCATCGTCGTTTCTTGCTCCGTGCCATGCATGCGTCGTCTCATGTTAGCAATGATGCTTTGTTGAGTGAGGCCGGCCGCTTCTCTGTCACGTACGAAACGCGTCGCAGGCAGCTTGGGTTTTTGTGTCGTGTGTGGAATGGCCGTTGTGGGCCTTTGGCACAAAAGGCCCTTTTGGAGGCCCAGGCAGCATACACATCGACCAACCAGTTCAGGAATATGCAGGCAGATCACACGTACGTATACCGACAGCATCACAACATGTATGCTCGCTTTGCAGCCTTGCTTAGCTATGTTGGTCATCGCACTCTTATTTCAAGTGGGTCCCATTAGTGACGCTGTGTTGCGTGATATTTACGTCGGCCTTACAAAGGCGTACTACTCTGACACACTTGCTACACGATGGGACACGTCCATTCGCACCAACCATGCAATTTTGCGTGATGCGCCTTCTCTTCCTTCACCTCTCTCCCTTGCTCCACTGCCTCTCTGTCTGTTGCCATGGCGGGGTTACACTACGACTACTACTCGCAGTCGTGTCCTCTTACTTGCACGGCAATGCCTTTTCACTGCCTCAGCCTTCTTCAATCATCACTTCCCTCACACATTCCCGGTGGCTCGTCACGTTTTTACCTCTCATCATACACCGCGTTGCTACCGTGATCGTAGTTCCCTTGTTTCTATGCCCGCATATGTGCCTGCCTTCCTCCATGATTTTATCCTCGAATCAGGCCAGGATTGGCTTCATCATCGTATGCACCCCCTGTCCACTTTCCCATGTTATTTTTCTCTTCCCTCTGCTGAGCGCCGTGTGCTGTTCTCATTTCGCACGGGCACCTATACTTGTGCTGTCACTGATGGCCGGCTGAGTGATCGGCCTCGTCTATTGCGTTTCTGCCCATTCTGCGCTGCTACTTGCTCTCCCGCCAGCTGGCCCATGCCATGGCTTGTGCCGCCGGTTGAGGATGAGTTGCATGTGCTTTTCTATTGCCCACTCTATCGTGTTCCGCGGAGGGAAGTCTTTCGTGTTGTTCGCATGTATGGCTTGACTGCACCGGATGGTGTTGTCTATTTTTGGTGGGATCTCGCCCATTGTGATCCCTTGGTGTTTGCATGGTCATTGCTCACTTCGCGCTTTCTCCTTGTGCAACGTGCGTTGGCTCAGTTTCTCTTGATGGTCGTGGCTTCTCGCAAGCGATGGCTTTCTTTGCATTCCTCACCTTCATAAGTTTCCTCTGTCTGACAGACGCTTAGTTGGACACAGCATCTGCCCTCGGGGGCCGGGACTTCGGTGTCCGTTAACTAACTACCGAACCGAACCGTGTACGACGTCGTCGGCTGGCCCCATCGCTCTTTGTGGTCCCGTTTCAGATACTCAAGACATTTCTCATGGATAACCCAGCTGCTCAAGTTGCCAGGCAGAAGAACGCCCTTAATGCCTCGGAATGAGTCACATGCGCGTAGTGGTAAAAGAGATATAAGGCCTCGGCCAGCCTTGGGGATGTTCGAGTCAATGACCTGAAGGTGTTGCTCCCTGAGGTCCTTGACAGCCCGGTCGTAATATGCTGGGTATTCTTTGAGGAGCTTGAATACCCCGACGTCGTCAGGAAGCTAGTTGCAGTCTTCCATGCAGCGACGTACTGGTGATGGTCTTACCTTGCACCTCCGACATTGTTGGATGCGGCTGCCTGAGCGTCTTCATGAGCCTTCTTCGTGTCTGGTGCTGCGGCTCGACAAGTGCCATGCTTGGTCCCCGCGTTGGCGCTCACCCGTCGACCTGCCGACCGCCATCATTAGTCGAGGTGCGCGCGCGTCCACCGAAGGATTATCCTCCTCTCCGCCCCCATCGGCACTCCGGCTTTCGTCGAGCGCACCATCAACGAAGTCGTCGCCAGCCACCAGCGCCTCCTCGACGGCGTGGTGGCCTTTGCTGTCGACGATTGGGACCACGCGGTGCAGGGGGCGAACCTGCTGCTTCGCTATTGCGGGTCTCCGCACTTCATCTACTGGTGTCGCCTTCTTGCCCCCTCGTCTTCCCTCTTGGTAGCCGCCCGTGTACACGATGCTGCGAAGATCACGGCCTTCACCCGAATCCACCGCACGGGCGCCTTGTCTAATCCGGCACACCGGCAGGTGCAGCTCTCTATTCGGCTGGGGGACTTCGGGCTGATGTCGTCTGCCCGCGTCGCACCGGCTGCTTATCTGGGATCGGTAGCTGTCACTGTGGGGGATGTGTAGGACCATTTTCATGAGCAACCCTGGATGCCCGAGTCAGAAACCTCTCTTCTCCAGCTGGAATGGCTCGTCCCGGCAGCATCCGCCCGCACCGGCTTCTCTGCATCTCTCCCCTTTGTCGCCATCCCTCCCATCCAGCAGCTCATCACCCGCCCGCAAGCCCGACTGCAGCAGAAGCTCTCAGAGGCCCTCGCAGAGAAGGACTTCAACACCCTGTTCGAGTCCTCTCCGGCTGGCAGTCGTTACCGATGCCGCCTTCTCACCTGCCTGGGGCCTCTGTTGTCGGGCTGGCTATCAGCTATCCCCGCCTACACCCGAGGTGACAAGCGCAAGTGCCTGAACAACTACACCTACCGCCTCGCGACCGCTTGGTAAGATATACTGACAACATTTCCCTTTCATCCTCATTTGACAAGACGACTCATCGCATCCTCATGCTGATGACATTATCATTTACTGCATCAATTAGCTCTTCGATGGTGGGCAAACCATCTCTGCACATTGACTATTCGCTGAGACATGGACGTGCTAAGATGAGACCTATGGATTCTCCATGTGGGTGTGTAATCTCATCCAGGTGCAACGAGAGAAGAGCTGGAAGTGTTTTTGATGCGATGGGACGAGGCCCTGACACAATTCGTCAAATGAGTAATGGATTGATTGAGAAAAATAAAGTGCATGCTTGCACATGTACATCCAAGTA